AAAGCAAATATCGAATATTAATACTAAATAAATATAAAAACTATAAATTAAGAGCTTTTCAAGTATATTATAAAAAGAATAATATTATATACTTAAACTTACTATTATATTCAAATTATTTAACTCAATCATTTAATATAAATTGTTTTAATAATCTGGAATATTTATATAATAATTAAATTGATAGATTTATTAAGATATATATTAATTATATTTCAAAGATTGAATTCTTTATAGCTTTTAAAATTATATACAAAAAATTAATTATAATTCAGAATATAAAATCAAGATTTCAAAAAGCAGATTTAATATCTTTTGATTCTAAAACTATATTTTCGAAATTAGATATTCGAATTCATACATCTACTCCCCTTTCTTTCGATTTAAATCAATAGATCTCTTAAACTCCTTATAATCCAATTGAAATTCTTTTTCAATCAATATTAATAAAATCTCAAATAGCTTATTATCAATTAAGCTTTCCTATATTTATATTCGAGATTATATTAACTCTAGCTAAAGGTATAGAAAGATTAGCTTATAAAAATACACTTTTGAATATAGAAATTCATACATTTCGAAAAACAAATAAGATATTAAATAAATATTAATACATAAAAAAAATCTAATTATATTAAGAAGGAGTATTTATTAGATAAAAGATTCTTAATATATTATCTCAATAAGAGATTGATATTCAGATTTAATATAATGAATATCAAAATAAAGAAAATCCTAATAAAAAAATATTTTCTAATAAATATTATAGTAAGTATGGAAAACCAGATTATAATTCAAGAATTTATCAAAATAATATAATAAATCCTAGATTATTAGATTCTTAATAGTTTTAATTAATTGATTCAATAATTATTGAATAATATAGGTTTAAAGGTGTAAATTGAGGTGAAAGTGGGCTATATGCTGATATAGGCCATATGCTGATAAACCACGTTATAGAATTTAAATTTTTTTAAATTTTTTATTTATTTTTTATATATATTCTTAATATAAATTTAAAAGATTTTCTTTTTAAATTTAAAGAAATAAAAGATATAATAATTATATTCTTGAATTAAAAAAAGGAAAAGTTATTAAAAAGCTTTGAGTATATTGATTTGTAAAATGATATAAAGAATTAAAAATATATTTTAATTATATTTATATTTATAGTTTTCAAAGAGTTTTTTATAAAAATTCTAAACTTTTTGAATAATAGTTTTGATTAACTATAAATATATAAATGAAATATGATATTTTGAATGGAAATTTCTATGATTTTAATAAAATAAGTTTTATAATAAGAATTATTAATATTAAAAGATATAACGTGGTTTATCAGTGAGCAGGTTATATCAATAAACAGATCATTTCGAAATCATTTAAATCAAGCTTTTTAAAATATTAATATTTTAATAATTAATTTTTTTTTTTGAATAAAAGATTTTAAAAAATAACTGAAATATAGATTTTCTATTAATTTAATTTTTATAAAATAATTTCATTATTGTCTAAAAAAAAAGGAAATTGTTACGATTTATAAATTCTAATTTCTTAAAACTAATTAGATTTTTAAAATTATTTTATATTCAATTTTTTTATATTAAATCTTCAGAAAATTATATTTATAAATAAAGAAAGTATATAATTATATACAAATAAATTTTGTATATAAAATAAGTGACTCATTCACTGATATAACCCGCTCACTGATAAACCACGTTAATAGAAGTAGATTAACATAATTAGGTAATTGAGAATAGATTAATATTTGATGATTTTTTTATTTTTAATGTATTTATTGATATATTAATCTTAAATCAATATAAAAACTATAAATTAATAATTTTTTAAATATAAAATCAGAATTTCGAGAACCAGATTTGATATTATTTAATTTTGAAATTATATTTTCGAAATTAGATATTCAAATTTGTATATTTATTCTTTTCTTTTTTGATATAAATTAATAAATCTTTCAAATCTTTTATACTTCAATTGAAGTTTTTTTTAAATCAATATTAATTAAATTTTGAACAATTCATTAATAATTAGGTTTTTCTATATTTATATTTAATATTATATTAATTTTAATCAAAAATATAAAACAATTTATTTATAAAAATATACTTTTGATTATAAAGATTTGTATACTTCGAAAAGCAAATGAGATATTAAATAAATATCAATATATAAAAAAACCTAATTATATTAAGGGAGAATATATATTATACAAAAGATTCTTGATATATTATTTTAGTAAAAAGTTAATATTTAGATTTAATATAATAAACATCAAAAAAAGAATAAATCTAATAAAAAAACATTTTTTATTCAATATTATAATAAATATAGAAAAATAGATCATAATATAAGAACCTATCAGAATAATATAATAGATTTTAGATTATTAGATTTTAAATAGTTTTAATTAATTGATTCAATTACTATTAAATAATATGAGTTTGAAAGTGTAAATTGAGGTAAAAGTGGTATACACACTAATATGATGCATACACTGATAAACTATATTAAACCTAATTCCCTTTCTGATTTTCTTAATTCAAAAACCTAAGGTTCCTTTATAGATTTTTAAACCTAATTAATAGGTTATGTAACGAATATGGTTAAATAGATTCTATCAAAATAGAATACAATCCCTGTATTGTTGAAATTATTAATTATTCTAACATTCTGTTCTTATTGATATATATATTCAATAGTATTATAAACAGAGATTTTAAATATAAGATACTCTCGTTTTGTTTCTACTTGTCTCAGAAAGGTCATTCGACTACCTGCAATTGCAAATTAAACTTGTCGGACGACAGTCTAAGTGGCCTATTTTTGATCATTTCTCTTTTTGCTTTATATCTACTAACAATTGAAAATAACTACTACCTAAATGGGTAAATCCATATGAATCCATATCAATGTAAAGAGTTTAGTACTTTCCCGATTCACATACTCTGTACACACCAACTTCGCTTAGCCTTCTTTTCGTCTCCATGGATAGGTATAAAAGCCTCACAGGATGGAAAACGATGTACCTACGGGCAAAAGTCTTCTCATAGTCTCGAGCGGTTTTCTTGTTGACGAAGAAATTATTGTTTGGTGGGTAGAATGTCCTGGGATGTGGCAATCTCGGGACATTCCCTTCTTCTTTGAAGCAGCAGCAGCGGCAGTGGCATTGGTGCATGTAACGACAACGACAACGGCAACGACAACGGCAAAAAAAGCCCCCGCTCCCTCACTATGGCCAGAATCGCCAAGAATAGACGTCAGATCTTCGATTCTCATGAGTACGTATCAAAGCCTTATCATTTTCACCGTGACTCCTCCCGACAAACCACTCCATAATAGTCGCTACCAGCTCCCTCCCTATATTTTAAAGTGTCAAAAACAACTATCTTACCTCCGGGCAAATTTCTTGCATCACTTTAAGTAGTTATGTTGTTGGTGGAGAAAGAATTATTCAATAAAATATATTGGCAAGTGGTGATCTTGGTCGTGCTTCTCTGGTTCATTACAAACATCGTAGTGATCTGAGGCCTCGGTCATTAGTGGCGGGAAAGATGGAGAAGCGAACTAGCTTCTTCATTCACACGGACTTGGAAAGAATCAGATCAAGGTCGTTGATCAGCCTTTGTTGTAAAGGCTTGGAAGCCTTCTGATCTGGTCGGATGTAAGCTGTCACTGTCACGGAAATTTTCTGTTTGTATATTTTATCTCATTCTAGTTACAACTACCGTCACATTGCTGATAAAACGATAACCGCCTACTTTTTAAACCAATCTCTTATCTCCCGTGAACGGAATCAATGTCATGATACTTTTAATAGATTCATCACCACCGTCAAACAAACAATTTATTACCAATAATCTCTACCGCCATTACATGACCAATAAACTAACTAATCATCGCCATAGAACAGAGAATCTCCTGCCGACAACGTCCTCAACTGCCCCCTTGGCCTAGCCCCCCATACACTAACCCACACCACAACACAACGACCAACCAGCAGGCGGCACCATGCTGTTGTTGTCATTATAGCCCTTGCAACTTCTGAGAAGAAAATAGCGACATTGGGGAAGAGAAACAAGGTTTTTATACCTAGCTGATTGGAATATTTAGAACGAAGAAAGTATATGTACACATAAACGGAAGGAGTGAGGATAAATAGCGGCACGTAAGCGAAAATGTTGTTAACACGTTAACTCTATGATTCGAAAATTGAAAGGTGTTCTACAACCGGAGATAATCTTTCCCCTTTAAGGTTTTAATTGCGCTTTCGGGGCTACTTAAGCAAAAGATAGGTTTTGATATATCGATGGTGATGCCATTCTCCTGTCTATCCATTTATCTCTTCGTCGGGTCTCTATTATCTTCTAATCTGTCCGCTTGCCCATATCATATCTGCTCACCCCTTTGTCAACCTGTCTATTCCATGACAATCCTGCTCTATGTTCATCCAGCTCTATCTCCGATAGATCAGAGAAGCAAAATGAAAGAGACTAGTAGAACAGAGATCGGACAGACTTCCGAGTTCGTAGATCGAGAACAAGTATGGAGATCCTAAGCAGATAGACATAGACATAGACATAGGGGTTGTACAGACGATGTCCCAGCCACCAAAAAAAAAAAAAAATGATGCAGGAAAATGTATTATTTTTCATCCAATAGCTTTATTTTCTTGATCACATTCTATGTCAGGAACCCCGGGAATGCATGCAGTAAGATGTGGTTGCAGTAGTGGGAATGTATAAGAGAGCAAGAAGATACAGAATGCTGTTTCGGATGCTGGCCGACAGCCCGTTGTACTGTATCACGGCAAACAACTATACATCTCAACATCAATAGCAAAGTAACAGTCGGCTCTCTCAACGGCCGACTATTAGACGAATAAACATAGGGAATTATGAACTCTCATTCTTCCAATCACCAATATACTTCATATTCCAAAGCAAAAATAAACGCACATGGATAATAATCTAGACTCCGTACCACTACAACCTCACCCAAGCACAAATAGTAATCTCGGATAAATAGATACTTTTATTCATAATTACATCTCATCTAACATTATCGACATTAAGCATCTTGCTCACTCTAATCCAAATCTCCATATGTGCATGCATGCAACCATAAATGCTTTATAAACTCCAAGCGCCAGCTACCAAATCAACCACCCCAAACCGATGCCATATCTCATTTCCCGGGTATAAAATGCACCTCTCCACCTGTCTATGATACATTCCTCCAATCGTTCGTCTGGTTCGAAGTTTTAACATCTTTGGTCTTTTCGTATAAACAAGTCGTCACGCATTTTCGCTCCTTCACACAACAACGAACCTAGAAGTTCCTCGCAGGAACAACAGGCTCAGGATTGTATCTTCCGTGTCCACTACTTTCCGCACTTCCATACGCTCTTTGTTCATCGGCAGCTCCATGGTATCCTCTCTGTCTACTCTCAACATCCATCGCCATTGCCATCTCGGCTTCGGTATCTTTGCTCTGGTAATGTTTTGTTCTGATGGCTGGGATGAAATCGATTGCGAAACTCCAAACGTAGAATGTGTAAATCAATGCGATGATCCATTCGAGGATGGCAGCAGTGTTCCACCAAGATTTACGGTTGCAAACACCGAATCCGATGGCGAGACCTAATTCGACGAAGATGAAGGCAAGTTTGACCCAGAAGGAGATGCGTAGAACGCTGTGTTCACGGTAGTGGATTCCGAGACGTTGGTATTCCCAGCAGATGAAGATGGCAGAAAGGATGTAACCACCACTAATATATTATTAGATCATTTTCCATAAGAGGAAGAGGAAGAAGGAAGCTTACATGAAAATAGCTAGACAAATGTCGTGTGCAGTGTGGTGGTGCACATCATTGAGACAGGTGAGACAGATCAAACCGATTCCACCTGCCACGGAAAAGACAATAGCAAGGGCCGATAATACTTTTTGGAAGAGGGAGGTATTTCCATGTAAACGACCATTGTGTCGTAACCATCTCTCGGCAATGAAAACCATATTGAAAGTAACCATGGTTACGGTACCCATGGCAATAAAGAGTGGTTGAAGTTCATGGGCTCCGATATCTGAGATATATCTGCGTGACGACGTTAGAATAGTCTTATTGAGGTTGGCGAGAAGTAGTCCAACTCACGCAATCTTTTGACCATCATCCATAGGTGTGATTATTGGCGAGCCATCTGCGACAACCCAGGTCAACAGCATGGCTAAGAGCATTGCAAGCCATACCATTCCTGAAAAGACAGGTATCATCCAATATGATATTCCAAACATTTTGCTGGATTATATGTGGTTGCTAGTTGAGAGAAGGTATTCAATTGATTTGTTGTAAAATTGTGATTGAAATGAGTTTTGGCAGGCGAGATGATATGAATTGGGAGCACGAGCAAATAAAGCAGCTTCTCAAGTACCACCCTTCCCAAACGAATTAATAAGTCCTTATTGGAACAATTGAGGTTATACAGATTATCTCAAAAGACAAGACGAGACAAGACAGGAGAGGAGGACGAACGATTAAAGAAAAGAAAAAAGAAAAAAGAAAAAATCAAAAGTCTAAGCACCCAGAGCGCATTTCGCTACCTACATTTTATGATTTACCATGGTAGCAGGCCAAGGTCAGAGAATCTCCATGTCAATTTTGCGATACACGCTAAACGTCATAGTTGCCCATTGAATCAGCCAGCCGGTGGATCCGTGTATCCGTGATGACCTTGACCGGCCCTGCCATCTTTTGCTCGAATTGCTTGAATCCAACCAATTCTGGTGAAGAAACTGAAGAATAAAAATGGAGAGAATGATGGAGTGGGTGAGTGGGTGAGTGGGTGATGGAGTGATGGAGTGATGGAATGATGGAGGGATGGGGTTTGGATACTTTTAGTCCGTAAACTCCATTTGTACGGAGTAGATTGTACGAGTAATACAGAGTAGACTGCAGTCTGTAGAAAAGCCTTTCAGACGCGTAATTTCTTGGAATGTGCACGGCAGAAGAGTTAGTCATCATCATTCATCATTCATCATCATCATCATCATCATCATCATAGAGTTATTTGAAATCGTATATAGATACTACCATCAGACCAGGACTTATACACACTGCTTATACGCACACTACATATATCCTGCATAGCCATCGATCGGCTATTAACTTTGTGGCTTTTCCCAGTCGTAATCATTAAGAAGCTTCATCTGAAGAATCATAGAGTTATCGGTACCCGTGAACTTACCTAGGTGGGCAATGAAATCACAAGCACAACCACAATTACAGTCACATGATATCCCCATCAAGTTCCTTTGTTATCAATTGTTGCACATCTAACTTTGGCTTACCCTCGCGACGTGTCTCTGCCTACCTACTAAGTAAGGTCAGGAGGTCCTGGTAGTATCGGTAAATATAAATCCATCCATTCATCCATTCATTTATCAATCTCTATCATGGATCACTCACATCAGATCACATCAGATATGATACCAAGGTGTTTCTAGAACGTTTCAATTACTCTCTACTCTCTACTCTCTACTCTCTACTCTCTACTCTCTACTCTCTACTCTCTACTCTCTACTCTCTACTCTCTACTCACCTACAATCTTACCATTAGTGCATCTTTGAAGGATCCAGAACATGAGATCGTACTGTCGGGTATTTATTAGACTGACATATCTAGCTATCTATCGTAGATTTTATGATATAGATATAGATGATAGGCTTATTAGTTCGATGTCTTCATAATACAATAATATAAATCTCACATATGATTACCCTTATGAAGTGATTAATCGGTAGAGTGAGTTGATTTCCAAACAGACATTATCAACCACGTACAGTACAGTTCAAACATCGTTATTGAAATAATAAAAGCTCCATCATATTGTAATCGCAAATAGATAGATATATCAAACTCAATTCCCTTGCAATCCAATGTCTCAAAAATTTCAATTCCTCCCTCGGCCCAAATCCTTGATGGAAACACAATACTGGCTGCGACTCAATTACCACGCTATGCAGTCTAAAATAATCGAGTACAATCTACTCGTCACCTCATCCGTAGCCGAGTCAGCCACTGTAATCCATCGTGCCGTCACGCGAATCATCCCATGATATCAACCTCATCAACTCCGTCCAATGTCCCATTATATCAATGGATACAATTATTTACAACTTCGCTGTCAATTTCTCCCCCTTGTGAATGCATGCTACGGCATCGCTAACCAATTCATCCACAACGGCCTTGGCACTCTTCTTCTCGTTCACAACGGCAGCCGCTTTACCCATCAAGAAAGGTCGTGCGTTGTCCATAGTCTCATCATCAATATCATCACCGAGAGTCTCGAAATCATGCTCAACTGGAATAACACCCTTGGATGTGAGTTCCTTGATCTCAGCAGCACGGTTCTCCTCCCAGTTCTGAATATAACTGTTGGTTCGTACTCGTAATGGTCTACCAGTGAAGATAATAGTTCGAACATTGTCATCATGGCCAGCGGTTCTCACAGCCTCTTGATGAGCCTTTGGTGCACCGGCCTCATCGGTCAAGATGAATCTGGTACCAACCCAAACGGCACTTGCGCCCAACATTAAAGCTGCGGCAACCGTTGCTCCGTTGAAAATACCTCCTGCGGCGACAACTTGAACAGGCTTTCCACTCATTGGACTGGTCTTTCCCTTGCAGAGTTCGACAACTGCTGGGATCAAGACAGTTGTAGGGACGTCTCCAGTGTGTCCACCACCCTCTCCACCTTGTGCGCAAATAATATCAACACCGAGGTCGAGGCATTTCTTAACATGTTTTGGATGTCCGATCATGTTGGCATAGAGAATACCAGCTTTGTGTAATCGTTCAACGACATGTTTTGGTGGCACACCGACGGCGGAAACAAAGAGTTTGGCACCGCTCTCGATGATAATGGTAATGAGCTCGTCTAATTTTCCCTTGGTATAATCGTAGCTATAAAAAAACTATGTCAGCGACTATGTAATGATTGGAGGAGGAGGCTATGGCAGAGAAATTGGTGGCAAAGGAGAAGGAAAGGAATGTAACTCAGACTTACTTTGTTTTTCTCGCAGATCCTCCAACTTGTGGAAGTAAGAGATCAACACCAAAAGGAGCGTTTTGATCGTCCAAAAATGACTTGAGTTCCGCGATTTGCTCTCTTAACATATCTGGAGTGTATCCGATACCTCCTAGAACACCGAGACCGCCGGCATTTGTTACAGCAGCTGCGAGTTTAGGTCCGGCAGCAACGTTCATTCCAGCGAGGATGATAGGATGGTTGATCTTAAGAAGATCAGTGACCGTTGTGCGGAGTTGTTCTATAGGAGGCTAGTCAGTTGTTGATTCCTTCTATTTGGCATTGTTTTCTAGTCGGCATGTGATGGCTGGTTACTTACGTTTAGAGGCCATGGTTGCTATATTCTGGTTTATAATGATATGGCTCTGTGTAATATATTATAAGATGAAGATATAAGATTTGAGAAACAATCAATCAATAATGAAGAGTAATATGTTGTGAAAGAAGAACAGGTGGATTATTTGAGGAGATTCTTACAGACCTCGGAACACTTGATCCTCAAAAAAGAAAGGATTCATCTGGGGTAAAAGCCCGGTGTAATAAAAAGATGCCTCGGTTTGTCTGTTAGCGTCGGGTTAGCCTTTTCTTGGACCTGCATGCATGCACGTGCGATGTTTCCAGTATGCGCCATGTTATAGAATGGAAACGGAATTGAATGTATGGATGGAACTGTCACTTCTATGTTTAAACTGATGTTGGTCTACACAATCTTCAAGCATGAAGATTCAACATGTATCTCCTATTAATGCCTGGTGTCCTCCGTGTACACCTGCAGGTTATAAGATTCTCGGCTCAAGAATGAATATCATGGTGATCACAATATATTATCCTTAGAACTTTCATAATGCGCCGTGGTCCGCGAATACGGTAACCCATTCGACCACTATCAACAAAGCTGCTTTCAAACTTCAAGTTTCTTCATTTGAATTGATCATCTGTATCTTCAAGGAAGAAAGAATACTACACCGATGAGGGGCTCTCTATTATCATCCGTGGTGAGGCGGAGTGTGAATTTACCACGACCGTTTGTCCAAAGACCTTTCCAGGCAGTTTGTAAAGTCAAGAGCTCCGCATCTTTGACATCTCGAAGCTATAGTTCCGACAGTGCAGTCTCATCACCACTTCCCTGGACTCAACATCCTCTTAATACCAATTCACCTAGTGAAAATGATGTGACACAGCTTTCCAAATCTCAAAGTCAACCTCGACTTGCATACATTGCATTGGGTAGTAACCTTGGTGATCGAGTGGGATGGATCGAAATGGCTTGCAACAAAATGTCGGAGAGAGGCATCAAAGTCAAGAGAACGAGTGGGTTATGGGAAACTGAACCTATGTACGTTCTTGATCAAGAGAATTTTATAAATGGTGCTTGTGAGGTGAGTTCTACTTTCGCAATGACTTGGTATCAATCTATACCACGTGATTATGCATATTGTACTTTTGGGATTGTACATGTCTACCAAGTTTGAAAGGTAATCTTCATGATTGCGGTTATTGAGAAGCTGCACTTCTGAATGTCAATTCCAAGGTTAGATGATACAGGTTCATCAAAACCCCAAAGATTTCAAGAAATTTAGCTAATACGGATCCATAGGTAGAAACAACCTTGGAACCGATTGCTCTATTAAATGAACTTCAAGCTATTGAGAATGAGATGGGTCGAATGAAGATTATTGACAAAGGTCCAAGAAATATTGACCTTGATATTCTACTTTACGAGAACGAGGTTGTAGATCACCCAAGGTTACAAATACCTCATCCTGGGATGGTTGAGCGGGAGTTTGTTTTGAGACCACTGGCGGAGTAATTTCAGGCTCTTAATTCTGTTGACCAACTGTCGCTGATATAGTTGTAGGCTTATTCCTGGACAACCTTTGAATCCGAAAACTCCATGGAAGTTTACCCAGGATTATCTAAATGAATTGCCGCCATCCCCAACCCCTTTATCTACCACAACCCCATTACATCCATCGATTGGTTCATTGCATGCTCTTAAAAGGAATCGCCAAACCCATGTAATGGCAATTCTGAATATGACACCCGATTCTTTCTCCGATGGGGGCAAAAATCTCAATGAGAGATATTTTCTACGAGCCAAATCCTCACAACTGATTGGATTCGGAGCAACTATCATTGATATTGGTGGTCAATCAACCGCACCAGGTGCTCCTGAAGTATCTTCTGAGGTAGAAATAAGTCGCGTTCTACCGGCTATCCAAGAGATTAGGAATACCAAATCGCCCAAGAACGTAGCAATTAGTATCGATACTTATAGGGCATCTGTAGCTAGGGCTGCTGTTGAAGCAGGTGCGGATATCATTAATGATGTCTCTTCAGGTCAACTTGATCCTGACATGCTATCTACCATGGCCCAACTTGGAAAGACCGTATGTCTTATGCACATGAGAGGAACGCCAGCAACTATGACGACTCTTACAGACTATGAGCCTGAGGGCCTCATTCCAACCATTGGAAAAGAGCTACTAGAGCGAGTAGCAGAAGCGGAGGCTGCCGGTATTCGGCGATGGCGTATAATTCTAGATCCCGGAATTGGATTTGCGAAAACACAAGATCAGAACCTCGAAATACTTCGTCGGATGGATGAATTGCGTGATTGGCCCGGCCTACAAGGCCTGCCGTGGTTGATAGGAGCCAGTCGAAAGAAGTTCATTGGCAAAATCACAGGAGTCGATAGCCCGAGCGAAAGAGACTGGGGTACTGCGGCGACAGTGACTGCAGCGATTCAAGGTGGAGCTGACATCGTGAGAGTACATTCTGTAGGGAAGTTAGCTAGGGTGGCTAAGATGTCGGATGCCATATATAGAGTTTGAATATGCATTCCTTACCCTCAAGATGTTGCCCAAAACACGAAATTCCTGAAGTCTAGCTTCGGTGCCACGTGATGGTTACGTAGGTGAAGATGCTGCTCGCTCGCCATGAATCTATAATCCCTCTATTACAACTCGCCAAGACTGAGTCTGCCAAACCCCTTTCTCATAGCTTCTAGAGAAAGAATCAATGATATTACTTGTGGCTGTTCAGTCATTTTTGAGAGATATGTTTGGAGAGGAAGACGATGAAAACTACATACTTGCTTTCAAACTGCTACCCATATCTGAACACGGCTTCCGAGGTTACCACATCAATCTCATACCTCAAATACAGGCGCGATATTATTTTGGTCATGGTCGTAGTGGCTCGTTTTGTTGCAAGTCCTAAGTGTGTCCTTGTCAAAGCCCAAGTTTTTGTATGATTGCCTAGGAATATCTGTGATGAAATCATGTTCTATTTTGTTGAATTGTTGTCGGATGCTTCTCGACTTAATATGTTTGTGCCTCATATTCTCTCTTCATCTCGCTCTTTTGAAAATACAACTCAAAACAAGCAATGCATTTCATCCAGGCTTGAAGAAGGGAAAGATTCTGATTTCTTTTGAGCTTTAGAACGGGTGCCACCGAAACTACATTCCGTGCCAAAAATATTCGGCAACCCAAATTCCTATTCCCATTCCCATTTCCGATCTCAAACCCTCTAGTGAGCCTCAAAGTATACATAGATAGCTAGGTATGACTCGATGCTGTGGAGCTAAAATCCTACCTTCGTCTTTTTCATATAGGCCGCAGAGACATCATTAGGTCCCGCTGTAGCGATTAACGGTGATACTCATACATCCCGTTCTTACGCGTAGCTCTTCAGATTACCATCTATCAATATATTCATAAAAGATTATGGAAAGTACGTTAAGGGGAATACTGGAGAATTCGGATCTTAGCCAAGACTGCCTAAGTTACTCGGGTTGTGCAACGTAGCAAAATTCAAGCTAGCAGTGTTTATTTTGGGGTATTGGCATGGAATCCGCTGCTGCGGTAGTTTTCTTACTGCTTTTGTTGCATTTTCACGGAGTCTCTTGGGACGGAATAGATGTATGATGGGAATTGACCTCAAAAGTGATATTTATTACTCATGTTCGAGGTTGACTCTCTTGGGAGCGTTATTCTCAACTTAGATTTATCATCCTAACTTAGAACTCTAGGCCCTGGAAGAATGTTCTCTCAAGCACGATTTTCCTTGTTGACACATCAGAAATATAAGTAAACATTGAATAGAAACACCATCAATTTAGGCTTAAATGAACTCGAATGAGTACGCAAAGGCTGTTGAAGTCTTGATTGCCAATACCAAGAACCCAACTTGACTCATCCGAACTTTTGCTATTGATGATGGTGACATCGATATGTGTCGCGAAAGCAGTGTTAATTCTCAAGTCACCTCAAACTCTAGCACAACCTCAGCATTAGATGACGGCATCGAAATCACGGAAGGCAGTGAAGTTGAAGATGATCAAGAAAAAGAACATGTGCATTTTGGAACTAGCTAGAAGGAAAAATAGTGTCAATTTCCCTTTTCCCCAATCACCTACCACCCACAAAAGTCTTAAATCCTATCTCCCTCTCCCAAACCTGCCGGTCTCCCTCCTGTGACCTCGCTATGCACCTCATACTCCCCACTATATTCCGGGAATCCTCCTTGTGCACACCTCATCTCCGTACTCACAACACTAATCTTAAGTCCCTCAACACTTCCCCTGTCAATCTCAGTCCCATCAGCTAGCGTAACTCTCCAGTGGAGATTTTGTCTCAGATACGGAATGACGTTCTCGGTTTCGAGAGATCCGAGATCGCCATTCTTGTACAGTTTGAGGAGGATGGGGGTTAAGGGGACGGTGCCGGAAATCATCAGGGAGCGTGCTTCGTCCTTGATGCATTTTCCGCAGCCGGTGGTTTCGGGATTCTTGCCAAAGGAAGAAAAGGTGCCGATGGTGGATTGTTCGGTTGCCTGGGAGTTTGGTTAGTAAGACAGGATGGAGAAATTTGTGAGAGGGAAATGAGAGGAGAAATAGACAAGCACTTGCCCAAGTTGTAGGATCGGAATTGAAATCTCCGAGGAAGATTCGGACGCGATAGGTTTGGCGAAGAATATGCTTGGGAGCACGGATATTGGCAATGTATTCGCGGTATTTGATTGGTCCCGCGGTTGCAGGAGCTTTAGATGCTTGAAATGCTGTTAGACAATTTCTACATGAGCAAAGCATTGAGAAAGGATCTTACATTTTCCAATCTCAGACTCAAAATCGTCTCCACCTCGAACAGCGTCCCCGGGCTTAGGCTTCGCCTTGGCGGAACTATGAAGAAGGTTTGACAAAAACTTATGTCCGTGAGAAGATGAAGCAGCACCATCACCAATAGGTTTCTGAGCTGTATCGATGCTGTCTGCAACAACCTTTTCGGCCTGAGTAGAAATTTGTACAGGTGCAGCAGCAGTTTGTACGCCCATCAATTGCATGAATTGGTTACTAGTAGCACCATACAATGTCTGCACTGCGGCGAGAACACTTGTTTGATATTGCTGGATAGTAGGATATTTCCATTGTTGAGTCTCTGGGTAGGCGTAGTTGAATGTGGCTGTGCTACGCACGCCATCGGAAGTCCAGTAGGATTTTCCAGTGGCATCGTTAAATGGCGTCAAGGGGGTAGTGCTGGTTTCTTGACTGCCGCTTTGGATAGAAAAAGTTCCATCGCCAGAAGGTTTGTTGATTGCATAGCTGTTGGGGTTCAAAGCTTGCCAGATGGCAAATTGTCGATCAACATTGCTGGTGTATGTCAATACTCGAAGTGATTTTAGCATTGATAGTAGAAGAAGAATCATGACTTACGTATGATGTAACCAAAATAATGGATCGAAAGCTGCGTAATCAGGATCGCCCATCTGTCCATTCCCGCCCGTTTCACTATGAAGACTATTGTGTACATCCTCGATACTACCGTATGTCCCCGGAGCATTGTTCGATGCCCATTGGTGATTGCTAAACGCATCGAACTGCTTATAATTGGGATCTCTCATGATTAAATAAACATTGCTCTGGTAAGAATCAAATTGTGATTCCATAGCGTCAAAGACCTGTTGCTCTTGAGATTTGGCGGTTGCACTTCCATTGGTTGGATATCGAAGAGTGGTTGGCCATCGTGATTCCTAGAGATGTCAATGCTGCTGTAATACGCTGAAGCTTAAGGATGATTGTTCATACCGGAGCACTAGGAAAGTCACCCTTTAAAGGATTCAAAGGATTGAATTTGTAGGAATAGAGGGGGTTATTGATTTGAACTGGTTTATTATTTGAGGTTGGAGTGATGATTTGGATCAATGGTTGTCCAACGGCAGTAGGTAGGTACTTGTCACCAGCGGGTGGTGTAGCAGCCCAGTCCCAGTATGGCATACGGAAAGTCAACGCAGCTTGTTGATAACGGGTCTTTGTGGAAGCGGGGAATGTAGCAGCAATATTTTTTATGATTTGATACAGGTATTGCTGTGTATATGTGAATATTGAGTAGAAGAACGAGTAAAGTTGCACCCACCTCAAACAACGCAAGGTATGGACGATGCCATGGTGCAAAGAGAATGGAGCTGTGGGTACAGTAGCCCTGCCATCCAGCCGGGTTATCTCCTTGTACTCCACCCCAGGGACGATAGGGGCGTCCATGAATACCTTGAAAAGTCAGAAAGGTACACATGTACAGCGAACCATGCTCCAGAAGACATACCCGCAATTCCATACCATGATAGATCTGACTTTTGGTCCAGTTGTTGAAAAGCCTGAAGACCAAGTATGTAAAGCGTCCATTGATCAGGAAAGTTGCGTTGGAGATCACGAATCTCACGCCTCAAAGGAACAGATCCTGAGAATTTTAGCAAAATGAACATCACACGAAAGTGTAGCCTTACCGTCAGCAGGAGCAGGAGAAGGTCTTGGGGGCCCGGTGATAGGGTAGTTAAGTGCCGGAATGGTAGCCATGATTGCCAAGTACTGCGTGTGCACTTTCTTATGTGAGCCGTGTAAACGCCTAGCTATCAAAATGAGATAGAATGAGAAAGTTTGAGTGATTTAAATGACAAAGAGGGATATCAAGAGTATATAACTATGTTTGAATGCTGTGTTGGCCATAACTAGATAAAGGCGCGTTGGGGCGTAGTTTCCAAATAAGTCATTGTATACGGCTGTCTACATGAGAAAAGCTACCAAAAGTTACGCCAAGACAATCACGAGAATTCAGCTAAATGAAGGAAACATAATTCACGAATCACAATTGCGTAAGTGAGAGTTTGTGCATATGGCAGTGTAACGGCTTGATGCGTATACCGTGATGTTCGTATGCATATCCAGTACATCTTTGGCAATAGACGATGGCTTGATGTCGGTCAGAAATATTATGACTCCACATTTATCTCAATGGTCACGTTGGTGCTTTATGTCTCGGTGGAGTCAAAGCCATAAGCATTCAGATGCAGCCTTGTAAGATGTTCGGGCAGAGACAGATGATAGAAGTTACACGGTCGTATTATATTGCAATATGCGGCCCCTGCATTAACCCCGCATTGGGGAGCCTCAGCCGCATTCCACTCACCGACTGAACGTTCAAAACAAATTCAACAAGCAAGTTAAAATTTTTCCTGAAGGAACGCAAATGTAGTTCAGTGAGCCTATTGAAAAAATAGCGAGAATAAGACGCCGCTCGATAAATGAGTGTAGGCCATTAAGCGAGACGGTTTTAGGGACGCACGAATGGCAACAGGCCGAACTTCCTGTGCACAAATCCGAACTTCACTACGAAGTTAGTGATTTGTGGGGTCAATGCATAAGAGTTGTTATGGGGTGGAGCGGCCAAGAAAAGTCAAGAAACACGTAAGATAAAATGCTTGGGCAGAAGCTGAATTGTACACAAATTTTATGCATTCCATTTTATGTATACCAAAGATAACAAAGGAAAAATGAGAACGAAGAAAAGTATATCTGCACCCCTCAAAGGTAACCCCCGCAATTAAAGCAACATCATGCCGCCAATCATGCTGACAAGCGTCACTGCAACAACCCCGAAAGCTCTCATGTCAACCTCAGCGTTTCTTCCACCTGCACTAGAGGAAGAAGATGTAGAGCTCGACAAACCAGCAGAAGCAGTGTACGTGACAGCACCAGAACCTGCGGTTGCAGTACCTTGAGATTCGTTTTCAGTATCACCTGCCTCTTGAGATCCAGCTCCATCCAAACCAGGTCCAGTACCCGCGCCTTCAGTCATGTATTTCTTAGCAGGAGTAGGCATGGCTGGAAGCGCGTCACCAGAGACATCCCAATCAGAACTTTCGGTTGGACAAGTGCTTGCAGATCCAGTAGTAGTAACGGCTCCACCGGCACCTGTTGGGGAAGTAGTGTTTGCGTATGCTTCCTTGAGGTACGTGTATTGTTCAGTGGTGGAGACGGTTCCATCGGTGATATCCACGAGACCATATCCGTTACCCTCGTTAGAATACTCGTATACAAGACCTCCAGAGAATACGGCAGTCATTTCAGTGCTGTATAAAGCGGCTATTTCGGTGAACTTTCTGGTATTGGTAATGCAACCAAACTCGGACATGCTTTGAGAGTTGTCAGACTTTTAAATTTACAAGTATAAGAAAAGGTTAAATCGATAGACTTACAAGAGAGGAATACTGTAGCCAGTGTAGTTTTTGATGAGAGTATCCCAGCCGGATGTGGTCATAGAAGAAGGATCGCACCATGAATAGTCATTGATTGCGTAGAAGTCGGATCGCTCATCATCAGTGCCGCAATTCAAGTACTCGGCAAGTATATACTGGTTAGAAGCCACGTCTGCAGCTGAGTAACCGACAGGAATGGATCGGTAACCCCGGCTACCAATGTATTCCTTCATGTCTCGAACAATAGCTTTGACATATGGAGCACAATTGGTGTTGTTCACATCGTTGATAACTTCATTGCCGGAGAGGAATGCAAGAGTGTTGGTGTAATTCGCGAACTTGTCAATAGTGGCAAAAATGGATTGAAGGTAAACACTGTTGTACGATTCTTTGGGTTCGTTTCTGTTGAGAGAGTATAGAGGAGTATCGGTATCGAGGACAAGATAGATACCAGCATCAGCGAGGTACCCCATACATTCGTCGTGGTCCGCAGTATTGTCGACAGCGTAAACTCTGATTGTATTGATTCCTAGTTCTTTAAAATACTCGACATCTCTCTTGCATGCAGTTGCATTAGCAATTGGATCGGAAGTAGTACCAGCTCCTCCACCTGTTTTCGAAGATTAGCCATCAAACCTTTGTGAAGACATCAATAGTTTTACCTGGCTGATAGTCGACACCACGAATATAGAAACGATCGCTACCCTTGTAGAAAGCTGAAAACAGTCAATATTAAGGCCACAAAGTAATCTTTGAAAGCCATACCATTTCCCGAAATCGTAACAGCCTCAACACTTGCAGTAGATGAAGCTCTTGCTGCCAACACAGGAGTACCAGTAGCTGCAGTCATGCCAAAGGAGGCAACAGAGGCAAAAAGCCCAAATATCGTACTTTGCCTCATCTTGTAAAATAAAACTCAGATTGAAGAAAAAAGTAGAAAAGTTGAGAAACGATCAATGATTTTTACAAAGGCTAATAATGAAAAAAAGAGGTATATTGAGGGTAGTGAGTGTGGTTGATATAAGATTCAGCCTTACAGATGCCAAGAAATGGATCTATAAGTAACGAATGTAATAAAAGCGAGAGACTGGAAACACTCGACAAGGAGAAGAGGGAGCAAAGGAAACAGTAAGTATGAAGAGGAGAGAAATAGAAAAGAAGTTGCTTTGAAAGGCGTGGCAGGTCGGACTTATCTTGTTTAAAATGTTATTCTCCACATAAGGAATAACTTCTTATGTTCCAACTTCCAACCAGTGAACCTTCGTATTATTACGCGTCTCATCCCTCACGGTCCCGAAACGGTACATCGACCCATTCTTTTGGCCATCCCCAAGCGGTACCATAAATAGAGATTCACTAGCCGACCCACCGTAATTCTCGAGGCTATGTCAATTCACGTGATTAGCTATCACTTCAATTGGGAAAGACATGGCGAGCTAATTTCCAAGAGATGAAGATTTCCAGTTCATCAAAAGGCGTTAACTGGGTCTAACAATGCAATCATGTTTCATCGGAAGCGTATCGAAAGATCCCTCAAGGTTCGAAAGTGATTCGGTACTTCTAGACACAGTCCCTCCAAAGAAAACGCTTCCACGGTTAGACATCCAATCAAGAGATTTGGTGTTATATGTTGAAAGCATAGCATAGCCAAAGGGTCATTCCAGCTTAAAATTCTGAACTCCCGAACCACCTTGGAAATAAGAAGAATATTTGTAAAGTAGTAATGGGCGGTTCATTGTTATCAGCTCATAAAACAATCCGCTATGCCTGTAAAACGAATTGATGAGAACATGATACGAGATAATCTGTAGCTCGTAATTTGGCAGCTGTTTTTTTGTAAGACAATAATGTCATGGTTAGAATTCGGTTTCCAGGGCGGGGAATAAATGTAATCGACATTTGAGAACATTTAAGAGAGTTTAGTATTATGGGCCCATCGCTGCAAGGACCAATGTAGTTCAAAGTTGACTTTTCACAGGGAAATCTCCTGACATCGCCCCACAGATTCGTTGTAAGATAACACCCAAAAGAAATGCTGGAGTCAAACTACTCTGTGCGGCGAGTCAAAGATTCAATGAGACCCGATGCGTTAAATTCTGTCTTTCTATTTCTCCTATAGTATGACAAGATATTTACCAAAATTTAACGTATTGAGATGAAGTAATGTAAATACTTGTAGAAAGCCACAAGAAAAAATGCAGCAGTCCTCATACCTTCTGACAATCCATTTCCAGTATTTGGAAAATCATTGCGGATTATCATTTAGTCTAGACAACTCATATGAACCAGAATAGATTTGGTAAGGTTGCTAGTGGATCCATGAAAATACCTCGAGAAAAAGGAGAATTTGAGGGATGGATGATTAAGCTGACGCGTGTCATGGAAACTTAGGATCGACTTCGACTTCGACTTCCTTGTGCATACCTAGTATGGTAATTTGTCTTAATAAACTTTCACAATCTACTGAGATTGATATGAGATTGACATGGCATTGAGCTTATTCTTGCTGACAAGCCTGCCCAGTGTACTTATTGTGGACTATGGTGCATTGCATTGCCATCTATTCCATCTGACATGTATTCTAAGAACTCGTCTTCAATCAACCGGAGTTGACAAAGGATGCAAAAAGCGTTAATGGTCGAGGCCTGACGATTGTTCGAGTTTGAAACGCCGTGAATGGTGACCGGGCCTTGAGGTTGATTGGCATTTCTCGGACAACAGGATGATATGACGATAGGACATTCTCAATAGCCGTACGAGGCAGAACATTTTGAAAAGAGACTGCCTAAGACTTGGGATGCCGTCGAAAAGAATCTAATTGACCGATAGACTTTTATCCAGTTTCTTCATTCCATCGCTCGTAAGTCGCGAATTGCTAGATTTCAGTGCTTGCCGTAGCCATTCGTCCCATTTATCCTTCTGAATGATATTGCACGGAAACTGTAAAATTAGGATAAAGAGCATTGCTACATTCGAAAATAGTCACAGCAGCGACGACGAGGATCGTTCGAGTCCTCCAATGCGATCAAAAAGTGTATTTTGACCAGTATTTCAGAGAGAGCAACAAGAAGTAGAGAAGAGAAAGGTGGATTGTCGTTGAGATTTGTTTTATCCCTATACCAAATGCCAAGCAGCCAAGCATTTCAAAGCCGTACGGTACCTTTTTCTCTCCAAAAGTAATCAAATGGATTGCCAAACCCCAAGATCACGTGATCGTGATTTTTATTGATGAGCTAAATGCACCATACAGTTCTGGCACAACGGCCAAAATTGGCTTGTTTACGCTGCACCAAGCGAAGAGCTCCACGAATTTATTTAATGCAATGCAGACCGCTTTTATATCTTTGATATTAAAGTGAGATATATTACGATAACATGTTGTTATCATATCATCTTTGCGGGGGATCAACAAAATGTCCGTCTCAACCTTTAATCCTCTTGGGCGATCCCGAAGTCTTCGAACTTCGACAGCGTCAAGCAACTTGAGGCTTCCTTCAAGCTCCAACTCACAACCACCCTCTGGCCCCTCATACGTTGCTCTTTTCATAACCAATCTTCGACTTCTGGATCTAGATTTGCGAGATGACTGGCCAGATATCACGGCGGTGACATTCTCTACCAAGGATGCGCAACAGAATCAAAAGAAACGCATACAGAGCGTAGAGTGGGCACTATTTCAGCTATTTGCAATTTGGGATCCCGAAGAGACTCGAAATGTACACTACTGGCTCTCATTGTAATGAAACAAAACAGCTAACTCGTGTCTGTAGAAATTACAACCATTTTTCCCACCATTCGAACCTCTCCAGTCCCTCAATCTGCGCACCGCATTGTTTCGATGTCTCGATCAGGCCAAGAAGAATGGGGTCCTTGGACGAGATACTGTACTGAGGAAAACCATGCTGGACGAATGCAAGGGCGAAAGGCTGGAGGAAGTCTTGGCGGTATTCTCAAACGCTGTTCTGAAAAGGGTTGTTGAGGAAGACACCTCTGGACGATACGAAGCTCTTGCTCAACAACTGGCACTGGAGAACTTTTCATACACAGGAGAAAGGACAATACTATCCGCCTTGATATTAGCACACAAGAAATCTTTGGGCAAGCACATTGCTGAGAAGAACAATTTAAGAGCCAAATATAGCGAGTTTTCTGGAACACTTGAGCTCAATGATCAACAAACCCTAAAGCGACGGGAAGATCTCAACCATGAGATGGATAAAGAAGAAGGCAATACTGGATTATCCGATAGAGATCTAAGATCGTTGCAAAATACATTTCGCAAGAATTGGTCTGGTAGTAACGAGTGGCTGGAAACAATTCTTTACGGAGATAATAGGCCCAGTAGAGAGGGACTGTTGGCCAAGCGTTTTGATGAGCTTTGGGATCATATTGAGAATGGTACTGTTGCAGACATAGAAGGAAAGAATGATACCGGGCTTGTTAAACGGCTAGAAGCACGAGTGCAAAATCAAGAGAGCCGTTTGGCTAGATGGCAAGAATTTGGACGGACTTTGACTCGAAACGGTACCAAATCACCCACCAAAAAGGTGCAGACAGTTCCTGTCGAGGAGAAGGGTATCAAACTTGGCTTCAACGATCACCAGACATTGCAAATCGGGAAGTATTCTACAAAGGATTTCAGTTCCGTGAACGCCCCCATTCGAGATGAATATGCTCGTTTAATGGAATGGACTCGCAATGCGTTGAATGATGTATCTAAGCAAAAAGTGTTTTCCAAAGAAAGCATCATCCAAGGTGGCTCGATGAAAAGGTTCAGCCAGCCTTCTATTGATTCAACCAAAGAGTCAATGTCACCAAGTAATCAGGATGGGGACATATCTCCGTCAACCAAAGTATCTCCTGACCATTCGCCTGTCTCTGTGGGGATTCTTGATGAGGCTGCCGAGGTTTCGACTTCTCGTAGTCCCGACAATGAACCCATCATTACACCGCGTTCGAGGATATCCCACAGACCAATTCCCATTGGGTCTTCATCAATCATTAGGCCTAGACAGGCATCGGACGATCTCGGTGTCGCTAGCGAGAAACCATTTGAGGCCACAACTGTAAAACCGGCCATCAAAGATGACTATATATCTGCCACTCCAAGCGCTATGAAATCATCCCGTCGCCCCGTATCCTTTGACAAGGACCCAGAACGTGAAGTAGAAAGGACCTCATCTGAGACACCCGTATCAATCACAAGGAGACATACAATGATATCACAGTCAACTCTATCTCCTTCCAAATCGATTCAAGCCTCTGAAAACCCTCTTGGGCCTGTTCCGGAGCTCAGCCAAGCAGAGCAGATTTTAAATTCCATGTCAGCTGCATCACCGTCGCCGCAAAAGTTGAAACGCTCGTTGTCTTTAGCAGAACGTACCCGTCTTACCATGGCTCGTTCGAACCCACGATACTCGAAATCCAATCTCAACGATGATTTTGACGATTTGCCAGATATGGATCGCCTCACTCTAAATCCCAAGTCTAGAGCTACACCTGTTAAGTCTTCTGTAACGGAAGAAGAAAAACATGCGGACTTGATAGAGCGTACACGGCAGTCTATGGCAGGCTTTGAGGCAGCCCAAAAGAAGGCACAGTTAGAGCGAAGGCAAAGTATCAAAGACGAAAAGAGGAAACAGCGACAATCGCATTTTCCAAGGGTTGTTCAAGAGGAAGAAGATTCATTATCTCCAGCCACGCCAGCAATTGATCGAGAGGTATTGATGGATGGAAATGATGTCGATTACGCCAGTGTTTTCATGAGTAGACCGAGAATTGCTGTTAGTCCGACTCCAGCGAAGAATAGGATGATATCATCTATGATGGAAAGTGAGGATGATGAATTGGAGGATATGGATGAGGTTATGGAGATGGGTGTGGATGCGGATTACAAAAATGCTTTTATGAGTAGACCAAGGATCGCTTTGAGCCCGACGCCTGCTAGGAATAGGAGAATTATGGGTAATGATGTGCAAGAGGAAGGAGAAGCAGAAGCTGTAAACATGTGGCATGATCTTTGAGCAACATTGAGCAGCCACAATGTTTATGACGAAATCAACGAGTGGTGTTTTTGTATCACAACGGCTTATGATTAATGAGAAATGAAATTCGTTATGAACGCCACACCTTCCTATCTTGCTCAATTGAGATTCTAGTAGGGCTCAATAAATACTAACAATCTGCCACTGTTAAACTTATGCCCGTCTGAGTTTATTAGGATCGACCCAAGTTGATTGTTACGGCGATTGATTTGAGAGGGGCGAAGAATGATTTACACACCAAGAGAGCGAAATAAGTAGAACATTTCAACTGACACATATATGTTTTGAGCCACCAAATAGTGGTGAATTCATTCTTCACCTTCCACTTGATATCTGCAAAGACATAGTCTTCAATTCCCTCGGTCAGTATATGCAAGCTGTCCGCTGGCTCATTTCGCAACGTAGCAGGATTATTCACCACCCCCGACAACATGACGACGCTTCTCACATGGTGGCTATCAATGTGTATTTTCTACTTACCTATTGGCGTGCAGAAATTTCTTGTCGCTGTTCGTCATTCTACAACTTGTCTCATAGAGGCGGTAGTTGTGATAAGACTGATGGGAAGGCTTTATCCTTACGTGGCAGTCATGGTAGTCATGGTTTTAATATCGTGTAATTGGCGGTCCCAATATAATTGATTTTTGTTGGCTGGCTTCGACTTCAAACCTTGTATATCATTTACTGAGTCTCAAGTGTCCGAGTACCCGATTTCTCAAAATTCCATCGTCACAAATTATTTTCCTCAACTTTTTCCTCTTGATGCTGCTCGCGGCTTCAACATTTATGCGGATATGTTTACGGGGTTAACCAAGCAGAGCGCGCCATAACTCTCGAAATACCAGAGGAAATTTAACCTAAGTGTGAGCATATCGCAAGAGCAAGCAGTGTTTCGGCTGTAGGTATTGACGATTTGGAGCTTCCGACTAGGTCTCGAATTTGAGGTGTTACTGATACAAACTATACAATTTAAGAGATCTCAAAAATACATTCTAGATATCTCAAGAATACGATGAATGCCGGCTTGCAAAACGTTAAAATATGGCATTCTGATCCAATGTGAATTGATTCCTCTTCAAGTTTGTCTCATCAAGCTGTTGATTCTGCTCTTTCTGATAATTATGAACCATCTTTGAGGGTTTTATTGATCAAATTACGAACACTGGGGAAGAGAGATTCGCAGGCTGGCGCAGCGGTGTTGATTTCACCCTCGAGTCCGAATAATCTCCTTATTGATGACATTCGATATATATACTTTAATGAGACACCTTCTGTCATACCTATCCACCAGATTCGCCCAGAATACTTTAGTAAACTGCCTCACAACTGTTTCGACATCGAAAAAACAAAAAACCTCCCCTTGCAAGAATGGACTGCGTCTCTGGGGCCAGTGGTTTAATCTCTAGTTTTTTTTGGCTACATAACATTGTTGAAACAAGATTTAGTTTGAGCTCTTGTTAGAGCCATGATTCGTCGATTGTTATAACAACAGCCTCCCGTGAGGCAAACGGCAGGAATCATGTGTGACAATCCACCATCTCTCGTACAATCAAAAAAAGGAAGTAAGAATAGCTTTGCACATGTATCTTCACAGAGCTTGTAATAATTGGCGCAAGCTTTGTGCAGTTTTTATCGCGATGGGGGCAATCGTGGGAGGCAAATGATGGGTGTTGATGCGCAAGCGTGGAATTGGAAGTATAAGTTGTGCTCATTTTCCGACCACGAATGTTCAGGGACAGACCCTTTATCCGGAAAGACCTTGTTTGAGGACTTCCGAGGTATCAGCTGTCTGATTCAAACCACTTTGATCAATTTACCTTCCTTTCTTCTCGATTTAAACTTGGGTTAGAATCCTTCCTTCGACATGGCTAAACTATTCGACTGCTCGAAATGCTGCAAGAAAGAAGCCCATGACTACAAGGTGGTGGCATGCGATCAACTTTACCCACTGTACAATCAACAGATGTGCGACAACTGCTTCGAATTTACCGAACCTCCGCACGAAAGTAAAAATTGCACAGTAAGCGTTGGGAAAAGTTGTAGATCATGCGGCCACGCTGATTGCCCAAGGAACAAATGCCCTCGGCTGGGTGGGATGAAGCTTTATGAGATTGGGCAAGATATTGCAGATAGATTCACTCCCGACGCGCGAGATGCATGGTTAAGAAGAATATATGAACTCCAGTCCAATGCAGCATTAAGTGCAGCGTCTCAAGCTTCAGCTAACGCCGCTGGACCATCAAACCCTCTACCAGAGCCTGTTGATGATAACAGAACGATGGAAGAGAAACTTCAAAGCTCGTATGACGAAGAGTCTCAAAGCATCCCCAAAGCCGAGAGCCGAACTTGGGATCCATCTACTAAGATTCACGCGAACTTTTACAAGGTCGGTCTGAGCAGTGAGGCGCAGATCTTGAAGTACTCGGTTTGCCTTGGCAGAATAATTTCTTGCGGAAAGCCCGAAGAGTTCGTACCTACACGACCAGAAACCAAGCGCTATCTAATCACGCGGCTTCTCGAGGAAAACAAGGATCTATTCGAACCAATCAGCTGGGCTACCGACTACGACTCCTTTATTGTCTCTAATAAACCCCTTGGGAATCATGATTTGAGCACGATCGGATGCTCTATCTCAACACCACATACACGTAGCGGACCTGATGGTAACTCGATTCACATGGACTCTTCATTGTCATTCCTCGGATTGGTTAATGTCAAGGCCTTGATAGACCATGTCAAGTCTAAGAACACACCCCTCTACCACCCTGAAGAGGAATTGAAGTTCCTCAATATAATTTCTTGGAAGAAAGTTTATTCCCCTCAGTATGAAGGAGGTCGTGTGGGCAAGAAATTCTATCCACATAGCTTTGTGGCCGATGACGAGAGATGGATGTCTCAAAAACGAACAAACGAACAGACCGATCCTACCCTACGCTTCGAAGACAGGGTACCTCTGTATCAGATACATCGTGGTTTCTTCAGCTCAATGAGGCCTGGGCAGGGCTCAGTTTTGCTCAATGTCAATGTGATAACATCTGCGTTCTTTTCTTCCATAAATCTCGCCGAATGGATAAAATCAAACCCCAAAAATGGGGCGATCCTGAAAGACTTCTAAAGGGGATCCGTGTTGTTTTCGACATTCATGAAAAGAACAGGCAAAAGTCTTCAACATCAAAAGTATCGCGCAGCATAGTGTGTCAGAGACTAAGTTTATGAAAGATGGCACAGAGATGTCAGTTCATGCTCACATGAGTGCTAGGAAGTCCTTTCACTTGGTTGTTGTTTATAAGATCTCAATGTGTTGACTGTCACCTAGCATACCATGAGAATACGTTCGACAGAAACGCCCGGTGCATCAACGTGGGAAGTAAGGCAGAGCCAACTTGGTTTCCGGCAGATCATTTGAAAATTGTTGAATGGCAAATCGTTAAGAAGAATTTACCAGAGCCTTATGTTGCTGCTATGATTGATGCCACCAAGCGTCCTCACCAGAGTAAAGATGCTATCAAGGAGACGGGATTGGCAGAATTGGGCTTCCTTGAGAAGAGCCCCTTCTACAAGGTGAGAAGAGTATTGCATATATTACAGGGGCTTATTATTTTAGTGTCTATTCACTAACCTCGTCCACTGAAACTAGACATTTGGAATTATACCAGACACAAACTTTGTCGAGATCAAAGCGGGGGCCCTTGCGGCACCGATATTACTTCTTAGTGGGGCCGACTGGGTTCCGGCTCTGGACGGTGCCTGGGAAATGAAATTCAAGCAATACCGGAAACCGGGTATTGAAAACACGACTCTTTACTTTCTGTCGTTGAGACGTGATGAATTTCTAGAGCAGCATGAGATGGAAGAAGCTACTCATACTTTAGCTAGGTCTCTAGAGCAATTCGGACTTGATCAGGTTAAGGAACGCGTCTTTTGTCAAGCAATAGTTCCCGAAGAAAAAGTAGACTCCGCGGTTCATCGCCAAACCTGCCCTGAAACTTTCGAAAAAGCCCTAGGATCTGTCTTTAGAAGCACTAGAAAAGTACCCTTGATTATGGTTGTGCTCCCAGAACGAAATGGCAAGCTATATCCAGAGATCAAGAGATGGGGAGATTGTGTTAAGGGCATTCCGACAGTTTGCGTGGTGGAAAGAAACCTTTCGGGAGGAGGGGACCGCGCTAGATGCGGTAATATCAGGTGTGTCAGAATATCCCACATTTCCAGCATGAAGATCTACTAACAATGATCGAATAGCTTGAAGTTCAATCTCAAATTGGGAGGCATCAATCAAGAAGTGAGCAATGGATATGGGACAAAGTCCAAGACTATGATTGTTGGAGCAGATGTCACACATCCTGGCAACGAGGAAGGATGTCCTTCCATAGCTGCTATGGTGGCTATCGACGATGACAGCCGATTCCAATATCTTGGCTCTGCACGAATTCAGGAAGGAAAACAAGAGGTACGTATATCTGTTCAATTTATGTCTTTTGCGTTGCTAATATATGCTCCTGAAGTGTATTTCGGACCTTCGGGGAATGATGAAAGAAAGGCTTCTCGCCTGGGCCAAACGTGTTCCCAAAGATGAATGGGCACTTGGTGGAGTATATTCACAGATTCTTCCCAACCACATTATTTTCTACCGAGACGGAGTGAGCGAGAGCCAGTTTGGCATGGTTCAACATCACGAAAAGCAGCAAATTTTTGACGGATGCTCTGACGCATACACGGAATTGAAACTGGATAAGTCCATACAAACCAACGCCTTTCCAAGAGTAGCCAAGCGTGAGAAATGGAAACCTAAACTCACCCTTATCGTTGCAATCAAGCGAAATCATGCCAGATTTTACCCTTTGGTTTTGGAACCTGGTGATCCAAATTTGGGTGCTGGAACTATCATCGATTCGGTAGTTGTGACACCAAATCACTTTAGCTTCTACTTGCAGAGCCATTGCAGTCCACTCGGTACGGCTAAAAGTACTCAGTACGTTGTGATTTACGATGATCAAAATTACAAGACAGAACCAAAGGAAATTATGAATATCGTGAGTTTCCTATTGATTTTGAGACCCACACCACTATATGCAGTAACTGATTGTACACAGACTAACAAGCTTTGCTACACCGGGGCTCACGCTTCCAAAGCTCTCTCTGTCTGTACACCAGCTCGCTACGCAGATATGCTGTGCGATCGCGTGAGATGCTATTTGAAGCCTGTATTGGAGGGTTACCGTGATAAGAGCAGCACGGATGATGTGGATGGAACACAAAGGACAGCTGTTTATGAAGAAAACAAGCTCGTTTGGAAGCCAAATACTTCAGACATCCTACCAGATGGGTGGAAACATCCTTGGCATCCATCGATCGGCAATGTTATGTTTTATCTCTGATGTGGAAGGCTTTCTACAATACAGATTCGGACAGAAAGTGGCGTTTGGGTCTAGATGCTGGCGTTCATGCATGATTTTCATCCCGACGTGGCGAAATCTTGATTAATACTTTTGGCATAAAATTAGAATGAATATGAGACATTTTTTCGGGATGGAGAAACATAAAGTAGTAAGCACAAGTTCCATTGGCTCAGAAACAATGTGTCACGTAGCTCAACAGAAAATTAAGCGAGCTCAGGATCCCCCTTGCTCCACCCGAGAAAAGCCAATTCCCCATGAGTCGACATATCACATTCTCGCATGCCAAACATACAAAAAAGCAAAATTTCAGCCTTAAATCCAAGCTGAGCCTCAAGTACCCAAAGTCAAAAGTCCCACTTAATAGCTTGACGTCTTCATCAAATCCTATAGCAACGTTCACAATGTCAATTCTCAACACCAATGCCGTATTTTTACTCTCCCTCGCGATCCAGTACCTAGTTTTCATTGCTTTCATAACCACATGCGCAATGGCCGTCACTGGATCCGATCAAACATGGTTCGTAACACCCCGATTCCAAACCCTGAAAACCTAAAATAACATCTCTCTCTAGGTCCATTGTAATATCTCTATGTCTTCTGTGTTTATCATACCTAGTACCTACCATGCAGCAAATCATGAAAATCTTCCACTATCAGCGCGGAAATTATCAGTTCTTTCCAAGAGAGAAGCGAAAAGCTACCCAAAGCACACTTCTACAGGGAATGATCTGGAGGGAAATTCCGAAATGGATCAGTGCTGGATGCATTTTATATTTGATATGCATGATCGATACGAAGAGACTTGATCAATTAACTATGCCTTATTATGTTGCAATGTGTATGGAGATAGGGATCCTTGTATGCGGATGTGTGACTGATGTTGTGGGACTGTGGATGCTTCATTCGGAGGGGATTGAAATATTCGGGAGAAGTTACGGCGGTGGTGTAAGAGAGATATCTATGCCACTTTCACAATCATCATTCTTATCGTCCTCATCGGTCAATCCGCAAACACATCCCCATTCCTCGCTAAGAGACTCTCGAATGTCGTTCCTGTCTTCTTCATCGGTGTCATCGAGATCTTCGACCCTCGCCGATCAAAGCTCTTTGAATACAGACTTTAGAGCCGGAAATAAAGATTTGGAGAAATAAAACGAATTGATATCTCGCATAGACCAGAGGATTGATAAGTGGCAGAGCTTTTTCAGAGGATGTATGTACAAATATAATTTGCACTGAGGAATGGTCAAGAAGTTTGTATAATTTACGCCAATGGAGAAGGTTCAATTCACTCAAGCACCGTGTAAAAATTAAACTCGAGATCAGATAGCGATCAATTAACCCAACAATATATGACTCAAGTGCCAGCCGCTTCAGTCTTACACCTTTTCTTATGTTCTTTCCAGTCTGCTTTTTGACACGCCGGACCACAATAACTCACTCCTCTACACCTCGAACACTTCTTGTGAGCCGTGTCTCCATGTGGGATATCGCCACATTTCTTACATCCTCTGGAGTCAACTATACCGAGTTGATTAATCAACTTCTCTGTTAATTCATCTATGCTAGAGTTTGACGACGTCGAAATTGAAACATTTCCTTTCTCACACACATCATATTCTTCCTGCGAATAATGAGCTTCAACATAATCCACCGTCGATAACGGCATAAGAGCAATTCTTGTCGCATATCTACTAAGTGTTTCCCACCCTGCAATCTGCGGAAAGCCTTCTGCATCTCTTCCTTCTCCGCAAATGCAGATTGCTGACTGATTTGATTCAGTGTATGAGGATACTGAGCCATATTGACGGTATTTGCATCCTGTACCGTGATCCCAGCCTTTTCGACATGCTTCTATGGTAGCTGGAAGCATTCGTCTCATTAGTTGCTCGTCTACGTCTCTCATGCTGTAGGAAATTGGCTGAGTGGTTCTGTGAGCTAGTAGTTTCTCGATTATAGGAGTAATTGTGGAGGATTCGTCTGTTAGCGGAAGGAAATATGCATCCAGAACAACCGAGCTCTGATCAATATTATGTCGCAAAGCCGAAACAAAGATGATCATCGAGGTTCTACGTGGATCACCAGAATCAAACAGAAACGTCTGCTTCCGGCCCAGAGAAGATGGTTGAACAAAAGAAACCGCCATATTATGGATGTAGATTTTAATCGAGAATAGAGCAGGAACATCTTCTTGCTGTCTATTATCAGATCTGCGCCAGTACGAGCGTTCTCGTGCGCATAACATGCTATGCATAAGATTTGAAATCCATTCTCCGGTTTCGCGACCAGTACCAGATATGATTGGCTGCTGGTTCATGTTTACTTTGGGAAGTGTGAGTGGGTCAGCGTCTGAGCCATTTAACACAACTGGAAATGGATTCAGTGTGTAACCTGTATTATCTAAAGCTAAACTTGGCTTAGCAACCAGTGTTTTCAGCTTGTTTGAAGGATCAATTATCGCTTTGTGGAGTGTGATCGGATATGGGAATTGGAACTGACCGATTTCAAAGCCGTTGAATCTTTCGGAAATGGTGCAAGGAGATATTTGGCGGACTCTGATGGTACTTTCGGTTTCCAAATGCTCAAAGTCCTTTTGAATTTCCAGGGTCTCAACTGAAAGACCGTCTCTTATTCGGACAAAGCAAGGCTTTTTAGAGGCAGAAGATGTGTGCAAATTGACTGCATGATCTGTTGCAAAAGGTCGCAATCTTACCCCCGGAGGCTCTCTTAGAATCAAAACGTTATCTTCATCAAGGCTGTAGCTACATATAACCCCGCTGTACATATAGCCTGCACTCAATCTTTTGCTCAAACATGCTAACTCTATTCGTGTGGATTCTCTGGACTCTATCATCAATAACAAGGAGGGTACAGCACATGTCACAATTAAGTCCGATGTTCCCTTCAAGCCCTGTTGATCTTCAATGACATCGTAAGCATCGTTATCTTCAGCTAGTTGGACCGGACTACCAAAAAAGCACTGAAGAGACACGAAGATGGCCTGGGTCTTACTTTCCGTATGCCGGATATTGATCTGTAGCCCAGCCATGGCATACTCGTCATCTATCTTCAATGCCTCAAGAGTCTCGTGTGGAACGCTCAGAGAGATCCATACCAGAAGAGGACATTTATTGTGATCAAGCAAGTCCACATCAGCTTCTTCATTTCGAGAACTCAACGGTCCATCTTTGAAATAATTCTGGCTTGCGAGCATGATTTGAGGAGGTATTTCCAGTAAAGAGGGCCGAGAACAAATACCCAGTTGGTAAAAGTGTAAAGACAACTCGAGGAGTTGGAGACCACCGACACGCAGCCAATCCTGCTTTTCGATATATCCAAGAAGACAGTCCCCAAAAGTTGACAGCTGATCATTCCTGACACAACCTTTCGCTAGACAAACGAGAGCGGAAAAACCTAGGCGAGTGTACCTTAGACAATGTATTTCTTTTACGGTAGTTGGAGATATGGACTCAATTTCAAACATCTTCAGGTAGAGCTTGAAGAAGAAAAGGGCAAGTTCATGCGGTTCGAAAACCAATTCTCTACCGCCTGGATTGTCTAGGTTTGGGTATCTCCACTCAACTCGCATATGATAACTCTCACTATTATTTCGATTCACTGAAAATTGTCGTTGGGCATCTAGTCCAACGGCATACGTGGTAAATCCGAATAAGTGACCGGATGGTGCCAGCCCCAGAAGCAGCGAGAAGGTTGTGATATCGCAACACAGAATATGAGATAGGATTTCGACTGAATCTTTAGTATACAAAGACAGCGTCTCAGTAAACAAGACTGAGGTTGTCTTGCGAGACAATAATGGCGATATAGCGGGCAGCAGATTCAGAATGCCAAGGGGATCAGCTAAATTATTGGTGTCGATGACGTCAAACGTACGAATGCCGCTTGTCGTACCAGGGTCGTCTAGAGTCAGTGGAGTTGAACGCCATGCCGTGGTGAATAGACTGAGCAGTTTAGCCTCTGGTGTTAAATTACCTCCCAAGCTTTGCAGTGCATAAGACAATCTCAAAGCATCGCCACAATAGAGTCGTATAGCTATTCCTTTCTCACGAACCCATTCCCCAAAACTTGCGCACCACTCCTGAAATTGATCCTTGGCCAATTTCACAACAACTTCTGCCAATTCCTCCTGGGAAGAATTCGAATTATCGAAGGCGCTTGCCAGGCGAAAGCCCAAAAGAGGATCCGAGCTTGAAGAGATCGCAAACACGTTTCCTGCAGAGGTGAGTGCCATCAGCGGATTCACAAGTTGGCCGTCTTCTTCCAAAGCTTCCACATCATGCGAGTTCCCCGCGATTACACCATGGTCCCAGAATCCATCGAAAGCATCGACAACTGTTTGGATGGCACTTTCCCAATTCCCACCTGCTGAACGAAGAGCAGATGCATACTGTTTCCGGCCACAGAAATCCTGGATCGCGATATCCCTATTCGTAAAATATTGCTCTCGCATGGTTGAATTGACCTCTGACTTAAATTTTGTTTCGAAGTGATCTCGTTCCTTAGAATCTGATCTAAGATTTGCGACCTCGAGGTACTGAGACCACATTTCTCGAACTTGATCCAATGTGTCCCGGTTCACGAAGAAGATCGATGCTCCATAGCTTGAAGATGACCATACTTCTAAGTTCGCCGATTGTTGAAGAAGTTTGTGAACCTGTTTCTGTAGCACGGCATTGTCGGTGTTAGTTATGTAGAAATGGTAAAATATATTCCAGGTTGATGCGTAGGGTTCGTTGTCGATGATGAGCGAAAAAAGGAGAATATTGCGCGCTATATGGAAGGTCCATTAATGGGTGAAGCTAAAAGGAAAACCGATGACGGAGGCTGTCTTACCCAGAATTGCACTTTCTGAGTCGCAACACATGAACTCCCATTTTATCGCTTCATCTATAGAATAGAGCATTAGTAATTGTGTCTCCTATGAATCAAATATTGAGGTCACATGCTGCCTCACCTTTATTGCACCACAGAGTAAACAATAAGTTTCTCGGATCACCGCAACCTAGCAACAATAACCTTACCGCATCATCCTTCTCGCAAGCAGGGCGCCGAGACTGCAACAAATTGATTGCAGGAGTATTTCCAAATGGATAGAAGAACGATTTCACGTTGAATCTAGTCGGTCCTAGCATTTTGAGGAGTTGTCAGATCGTGGAAGAGGAGCAATGGAGGGAGAAGCAGTATCTTGTGAAGTAGGGAAAGTCAGTTTTAAGTCAACCAACCGAATCGCCGAGTTATTTGTTCTCTCAACCAGAAATTCCTACACAAGAAGCTTGTGCCCATGGGAAGATATTGAATCAATTTATATGCTTTTACATTCCTGCTGAATGAATGGGCCAAGGAGGTGGTTTCATAACATGTGTTCTAGTGAATTGAGACAACGCCACAATGAGATGCACAAAGATAAATCAAATAATAGAATTCACTTGAATCTATCAAATGAATTTTCCTTGGACGACATGGTCTAAGATCTTCATTGCATAGAACAGCCATGGAAAGCTCGCAAACAAAACAATGGAAGTCCTTACCCGCATGTGAAAACATCCCTAGTAGTTATCAAGCATGGCCTTTTAAATATTACTTTGTATCCTGTCATAAGCATAATAGTGTTTGTTTCATTGCTGAGTTGCAGCATCTTTTTTGACCATTCGAGGCACACTGATTTTCTTGGAGAAGATGTGACTTTCACATATCTCTAAACTCTGCTTGTTTCTTCAGACTTGTCTGCTCCCTTTGTTTGAATGTTTGAGCAGTCAATACCCATTCGAAAACAGCATATTTCTGAGATAGGATACAATCGGATATTGAAACTTTCAAAAAATACCCAAGCAATTTATGATCGCTCAGCAGTGATTTCCAGATTTGTCGATGCAGTTTTGCGGTCAAACGCAGGCAGGTCAGATTCGAGAGGCATGCCCAGTCGGATGTATATCAAGTTAAATCCCCGAGTCATAGATAGATCTACACAGTTTTTGAAAGTATATAGGCGCCTAATAGTCAAGTGACATTCGTGAGAGTGAAGACCGGTCTAGACAATCGGTGAGACAATCAGTTCGCTGTAATCGTTCCATTCACACAAGTAACCCCCATGCCCTCCACACCTTCCAACCCCGTACATATTTCTCCCGCCGCAGTCCCATTCTAAATTCCCATTAGTAACAAAGAACATTCGCAAATGTTTGTAGTTGACTTACTGCAGTGGTCAAATCAATGCCCTTAAAGTGGAAGTCCTCGCAATGAGCGCTATCATGACAAAGTAGATACAACCCATTCCTTGGCGATTCATCTATGCACCATTAACCTACAAATTTCCTATGCACTGAAATTTGACTTCTCAAAAAGATCAAAGCGGGAAGACTCACCAGTAGTAGCATACCAACACGGGTCACTCACACAGCTCGCATCCCCAACCACTGCCGCCACACTCCCATTAATTCCCTCCCATGTAAACCCCTTCGCAAAAGCCGCAATGCTAGTATCTGTCCCGCTTGGAATACCCTTCTCTTGATCATAATAATCCTCAATAAAATGGATTGGGTAGCTAACATTCTTCACCTCGATATTTCTCCACGTCACATTACTCACATTACACGTTGTACCTATCTTTCCCTTGAATCTTGCTGCCATCAGACTGTCATAAATATACGCATTTTCAAACGTGTAATTACCGCCTGTGCCTGAAGCGCAAGAGACAGAGAGCCCGTGCGTGCCGGAGGCGATGACGTTGCGCATTGTGACGTTTGTGGCTGGCGGCGAGACGTTGATCACATCATCACCGTTGTGAATTTCGAACCCGTCGATTAGGACATTAGACGCAGAGAGGTCAATTCCATCTATTCGTTTACTTAGTATCTCATATTCTGACGAATTATGATCAAATGACCATGAAAGGCAGAGATACATACCAGTGTTAAAGGGAAATCCATCATTACTCCTAGCATCAATGAAGGTATTCGTCATCTCGACATTACTCCCCCCTATGGAGAACACCCACGCCACAGGGTTAAGAATCTTAAGATTACGAATAACAAGATCACTTCCAAAAGCATCAGCGAAAGCTTGTCGATAAAAGCAGGGGAGGAAAGGCAAAAACTCAAACATACGTAACCGTAAAACCAAACCAATGCGGCCGTCCTCCTTGCACCGAGTCCCACGGACTACTCCACCAATTCTCCCCATGCGCCAAAAACCAACCACCATCTTCCTTCTCACTGCCCTCAAAGGTGACATTGGTCCCCTTAAGCGTAATCCATCTTCCGGGATAAATACGTGTATTATTAACCACCAGCTGTACCGCCGTCACATTCTCACTCAAACTGATATTGCCCTCAAACGAGAACTTTACACTCGTAAGGTTCTTGAAACTGAGGGGTGTGAGTAGATTATACGTGACGTTTTGTTCGAAAAGAATTGTCGAGTTTGGACCACAGAGATTGACAGCTGTCGTGATACCCGGTGCGTCGTCGATCAAGGGGGAGGAGTTATAGGGCATGGAACATAGTTTTGCCGAAGAGAGGGGGAAGGAGAGAAGCGAGATGGTGAGAAAATCGTGTAACTTCATGTTTGACGAGATACTGGACAGCTCCTGGCTTGCAATACAAATATCGAATTCAATGTTTTATAGATCGTATTATGAATATTTTAGGACTTTTTAAATGCCGCATTGAAATTGCCTATAGGGTAAACGCATGCGGAACATTCGGGGAATTTGCAGTTTCGCTAACCCTGGTGAACTCAATCAAATGTTCCTATCGTGCTCACTAATCAAATCTTTAGCTTTAAAATTTAATTTGACATCCGAAGTTGCGAGGTTCCACGTTGATCTGTAATTTCATTTGTAAGAAAAAGGGGCGAACCAAGGGAATAAGGGTTGAAAGTCACTGATGGCTGGCCTGCATGACTGTGCATATTAATCCACAAATCGGATGATTGCCCGTGGGGGCATCGACGATGTAATCATTAATTCAAAAAACGGGTATGATGGGCGATCACCCCTTCCAGGAACTCAATTTTGGCAATATCTCAAGTACTGCCACAAATATGAATTAAAGTTCAAAGATGCCGAGGAGTTGTGCACCCTGTGAAATTCATTAATCTTTAAATGTACATGCTGGTTGGCAGTGTGTTGCAGTAAAGACCATTGCCTGAAATTTTCAAAAATTTGTCTCGGCAATTAATCGCGACTAATAACAAGCCCCTTTTCTTCCGCAAATACAATCTTTCTCTTCCCGTAATAGATTGGGTGAACGCCGTATCATGCCTTTCAAATGCTAAATTTTAAAACCTTTCTTGTATTTGATATGGTGATTGAAATTTATGCGGACAGACCCCTCTTCTCACTCTCTGAGAAGAAAATGACCATTCTCCATAACTTCTTCACCAGAACTTCTGCTTCCTCATCCAATGCCTGTAAGAATGTTAGTAAATGCATAGAATGATACACGAGATAAAGCAAAAGATAATTACGTACCCCCTCCAGTTGCTCCACCAATTCTTGTGGCTTCCCCTTAGTCCTAACATGCTCTTCAACAACTTCCACAAGTAACTGTTCCTGCACTCCCAGATATTCCACAATCTTCTTTTCAACGAATGGTCTCAACTTCTCCACGATCACAGAATCATCCACAAAGTCCCACTTGACATCCCATGCCCAGAGTCCCTCTTTCTCTGTAGGTATCTCTTGTGCAAGTTGTCGAACCGCCTGATCACGTTCTTCGTCAGAAAGGCCAGCTGCTGCTGTCGAAGGATCGAATTTGATTGGGATGAGTGTGCGTTTCGATGTATTATCAGCTTCTTCCTCATCTTCAAGGAGACCTTCAACTTCAGCGACAGTGCGACGAGGTGGAGCTGCCTTTTGGGCTTTCTGAGCTGCAGCTCCAAGGGACAATTTGAAGGGCTGTTGAGCCATGCGAGAGGATCTCGTTTCGAGTTCTTCAGCTTGACGGTCGAGGAATGAGTCTGCCAATCCTCTAGCTTGCTCTTTATCTGACGTCTCGCGGCGTCTCTCATGTTGTTCCGCAATTCTATCTCTCTCATCGGCAGCAGCTTCTCGTTGAACATAGATTGCACGATTTCGAACCCAGAGACTTCTGTCAACATAATATGGATCAGTTTTGCGAGCAGCCTCGGCATCGTCGTCCCATTCCTTGAGCCTTGCAGCCATCTTTTGTTTCAGATCATCCGCATTCGCAACATCCTCGTCTTCACGTTCTTTTTCTCGTTGAACGGCTGCTGTGCGAGATTTTTCACGATTAAGCCAGCGTCTTTCTTGGTCGAGATATTGCTTCTCAAGTTCTGCCTCTTTTTTCGACTTTCTTCGTCGCTCGAGTTCCTCATCGCTAGCATCACTGTCTTCGTCCTCGCGGTTATAATAATTGTCACCGCCGGATCCACCATTGATACTACTGCCATTAACAAATTTAACGCCAGTTTGATAGTCTCGTGGTATTTGTTGGCCTTGAAATTTAGGACCCGAAGGTGCATTAGGTACACCTCTAGGGCCAAGAGGTATGTTATTCGAGCCAGCAGAAGGCCCACTGGGAATTTTTGGCCCAGGTGAAGCAAGGCGTGAAGGTCGGGGTGCACCGTTTCTTTGCCTTTCTAATGCCTCCATCTCCTCCTCGCGCTTGAGACGTTCAAGGTCTCGTCTGTTACTTCTATCCCTGAAAGCAGCAATTTCCTGTGCAACCGTTTCTCTCATTTCAGCTGGGATATCCGAAAGTTCATCGTCGACTGCCAATGGAATGTTAACAACTTCAACGTTGTCACCCCCATTTGCATCTTGCATAGCAATATCCTCTGGAGTCTCTTCAGCCTTGACGAACATGGGTGGGTGAAATAACTCGTAAAGTACCGCCTTCAACCCAATTCTAGCTGCATCAAGACGTGTTTGGTCACCTGCAGCATCATCAGCTCTTGAAGCCTGATGATTCTCCAAATAGTTCAGAGAATTATCATCCACAAAGACCAGTAGTTTGCTCTTTTCCACTTCATCCTCCCCATCCTTCTTAGTGCCATCAAAGGGTGGTTGTTTCTTGGTTGGAATTTCAATATCCTTCAAAATTTCTACAGCCGTAGCCAAACTCTCCGCGTCGTCATACTGCGCAAATCCGAAACTACACTCCTTCCCAGCCCCATCAATAGCCCTATCCCATCTGCGTAATCTACCTGCCGAGCTCAGAATCCGCTCGATTCCCTCGTCACCGCCAGCCCCTTCCGTAATGCCGCCAACAAATATAGTTCTTACGATCTCTTCCTTCGTAGGCGGCACTAAAGACATGATACTTTCTCTCATCGATGCCATTCTCTGTGCATTCTGGGTATACGCGGTAGCTCTATCCGACCCTCCTCCAGACATAGGGTCTATTCCGGAACCATTGGCTGAAACTGGCGTATTGGATTTCGCAGGACCGGTACCTAATCTAATGACAGGCGCGCTGAAGTTGATATTCGGCATGTTAGTCGGAGGTTGAAAACTAGCTGGAATTCCGCCGGGTCGTGAAGGCTGTGGATTGTTGACTTGTTGTAAACCAGGGGGAGGAGCTGTACCTGGCGCAGACATGCCTGGTGGAGGTCCTATTCATCACTTATATTAGCTGCACAAATCGATACTCTATTCATCAAGAGTTTCTTACCCATTCCCGGAGGTGGCCCCATACCAGGCGCAGTCCCATTTTGGCCTGGGAATCCACCAAATCCTGGAGGTCTACCATAAGGCGACGCTGGATGGATAAACATCCATTAGCAAATGATGAAAGACGAGGAAGATTCATAGCCATTGATTATCTTACCACCATAGGGATTATACGACATAATTATCAAAGCCTTGAGAGTTTAATCTAGCAATTTGAGTATCTGAAAATTTGTGACTGAAATTGATAAAGAAAAAGAGGAATTGAAGCTGGCGCATCAATGTTTCTTTTGCGATACAGTGTAATATTTACTTCACAGCTCAAATCCCGAGTATCCAAAATTCGTAGCGCACAGACAATATAAATTTCTTAGCGCGTCACCCCAAAAAAGTTCATCGGCCCCGGTATCAACGACATCTCTATTGACGACCTCTCAATTTAACCATTGTAGGTCTAATTCTTCTCGCAGACCCTCAGTTACTTATCTAATATTCATATAGTATCATGGAGTTAAGACGTATTGGATCGGCCGCATTTCGGTCGAGCACAAGAGATGCACCACTCGCCCAACTATTACAGTCTAGTAGGCAGAATGTAATTAGGACTCCCATAGCTCATCGGGCACTTTCTACAACTTCACGAGCATACGCATCAGATTCAGAACCCACTACCCGAGCGCCTTTTACTCCAGGAACATCTACATCCTCGCCTTCACCTTCAATCCGAGAAGCTTCTAATGGCTCAACCACATCCCCGCCCACTCCAAAAGAAGATACCCTCGAATCGCTAGGCACGCAATCTATCAGCCAGACCCTTAGTTGGATAAAACCAGAGCACCGTAACGCTCCTTCGCACTTCAAATCTTCCTCTGCCCAATTAGAGAAGCGAACCAACACTCCTAGAACCTATCAATCGCCCGAATTAAAATCCTCCAGTCTTCTCAGCCGATTGAGTAATCCCACCATTTCTAATCCCTCGAGCAACTTGGCACGCTCCCCTGGAATGTCTACACAATTTGCAGGAATGCAAGTTCCCAATAAGAAGACTGGGGTGACAGGAAGTCATGAGGATTTCATGCATGAAGTTGCCTCAATGGTAAACCCAATTCAACCTCCTCGAACTGAAATGCGTCTCTCGCCCCGAACTGGTCGAACGGTGGATATAAAGTCTAATATAGATTTATCGCGGGGTATCCGAATGTTGGAGGCCTCGTGTGCATTGAACAAAGTACGCCATGACCAAACACACCAGAGGTTTCACGAAAGAGGTGGTATGAAAAGGAAGAGACTACGTCGACAAAGGTGGAGAAACAACTTTATGGAGGGGTTCAAGGGCATTGTGGGCAGAGTGAAGCAGTTAAAGAATCAAGGGTGGTAAAAATCTTACGAATGGGGATGCGAGGGCAGAGGTATGGCCTACTCGCACATACTTTGCAATCAGAGGTCATAAGAAGTACTCGTGTATTGCAGAGAGAGTCTATGAAATGCGTTAGACTTCATCATTATGTATATTACTGTAGAGAAGTAACAAAAAACTGTGGAAAACGCAGATATGAAAGTCGAATGATTACAAAACTTCCAAAATGCGCAGATGAATATACTGGCACCTATCAATATGAACTATAGCTTCAATGTCAGCCGAACTCGTGTACCTAGGTTATCTCGGTGTTTAAAGGGAATTTAAACATGAGGTCTGTAGGACGTAATGTTTTTTTCGACTATGTGAGCAAGACATACACGCATGTCCTCATTAGACTCCATGCCATGCCCTCCTCAAAGCTCACTAAACGTAGTACGAATGTCTCCCCTATCTCGTTTAAGCCAAAGGCTTCGAGCCCACAGGCAGATCAGCGGCAGATCACTGGCACAGACACACACTCCTCTGGTTTGCCACCAAAACCATGTGATTTTTCAAAATCCAGTATTAAACCATGCAGTCTCGCAGTCAGTATTTTTACATCGAGATTGAATCGAACCAATCAAGAGTTTATAATTAATCATTGATTAATTATTTTTGTACCTTTGAAATGATTGTGGCTGCTACTTGAAGCTCGAGCTACTATCAGCCACCAGAAAATCATGCGCCACACAGCCACAGGTTCATTCGGAGTCAGCTATCAATATCTAAGATGAATTCGAAAATGGAACCACAACCTAATGTTTTATTTCTAGAATCCGGATGATGTTACCGGTACTTAGAGCACCTATCATCACTCATATTCTTATCAAATCCCTTCTTTCCTTGTAAAGCTGGCAGGCCATCTCAAGTTCTCAACCGAGTTCATGGAGTCTATCTGCCATTCTGTTGTATCAAGCATTGCCGACCGACCTGCTTTCAGAAAGGTACATCTTCTACTCTCCAGTTGAGCCAATAATATATAGCAATGCCGGTTCGCATGCGAACATGTCATCCTTAGAAGCATTTCTTTATTCATGATCCATCCATCCACTCACTTGTTCTATCCACTTCGACCACCAGACTCGAAGAGCCAGCAATGCGGTTTGAACAATGCAAATTCAAACAAAGAAATGGCTTCCAATGGTGATTAGCTCGTCCTGCTTACTTAAATCAATCCTCCGAAGCTGAAAAATCTATCAACTTGCTCAAATCTGATTACAAAACTCAATCTACAGATCTACAAATGCTAAAGTCGACTATTCTGTACATGAACACTCCCACAGAATCTCAGATTCAATATTGAAAATTTCAAGTTTTGATAGCCCGTCGGATGGATCTCCTGAGCCTACCATCTAATCACATCCGAAGTCGCCCCCCGTGCTTGTCATCGGAGGAAACTCCGTTTCCGCGATGATATCGAGTTTCCACAAATAACCAAACCCTCAGACAGCCACATCAAATCAGAATTGCGCCCTTTCCAAATATCAAATTGATTCGGATGAAATAATCTTCCATCATTCTCAGACACACCATGATGAAATCCAATGTGAAATAACTCGCTGATTCGAAATTTGAAATTCCAAATCGCTATATTCTGACTGACTATCCCTCTTTCCTCGTAGCTTTCCTTGTGCATACTTCAGCTGAACTCGCAGGACCACTTGACATTTCAACCTAATAATGGCTCACGTCGCTCGCGTCCTATCAAAGTTTCAACTTTCAGGAGCCTATCTCCGATTAATTCTCCGATCCCATCTCGCCGGACCTTCTGACCCACTCTCATCGTGATTGCTTTATACTGATACTTCCCCAATCTACTGTATGGCAGTGCATAATATTGCTTAAGCTGAGTTTGCTTAAGGCCTGCAGCCCGGGACTGCACTTGCCTTCACCGCGCTACCCAGCAATTGGTGACTAGCCGTTGTGCCCAACAGAATTTCCGGATAAATGAAGTTTCCTGGAATCCCACTCCACTGACAGTTACAGCTAGAAATACTCTGCAATTGACGACAGGACATCTAATTCACGGTCGCATCGCATGTAATACTACCAATCTATACTCGGCAACATCAGGCGACTTTGACAAAAACAGATACCATGTATGTGCGTCACTTCCGCCAGTACCATAGTAGCAAGTGCGCATACACTCATACCCTTGACCTACGATCAACCCACAATCCCCGTTCTACGAAACTTTTCCTCGTATGTACGAAATTCTATAAACGCGACAGGCCATTTATACGCTGTACTGAAGTATCAAGATCTAATCAATACTGTAACTTGAAATTTAAAGTTTAGTCACCATGTGCCCCTATCTTATCTGAAAGACTTAATAGATGTCTTAATGATAGTGTGTATTTACAGGGCCACATGGAGCTTTATAACATCATGACAAGCTACAGAATCGCGAAAGGATCAGCTCTTGGGACTTAAGAAATGTACAAGAGGAATGCTATGGTCCAGGCTCGTCAGTAGACTAATTTGAAGATTCAGGCGCTAGCTGCCAAAACTGTGAAGCAGAGCATTCCTCGTTGTATTCTACAGTTCCAGAACATTGAACTTGGGAATCGCGCATGTTCTGTCGCCTATGCTGTATCCTATGCTCGAGGATACTGATTTGGGGTAGCTACAGCCTCATATACTGCCATGCTGGTCATTTTAGTCAAACGGGATGGCCGTATAAATAACAGTAATAATTTCGAGGCGCTTAAGTTTTCCTTTCCGTGTCAATATACATACTCGCCGTTCACAGACGCAGTTCAGGACGAACAAGGTATCTGTATGTTTAGTCGCTCGATGATCCAACAACGGAGGCGGGTTCAGCTCCGAAGCTCATTGTTTGCCTGCCGCAACATCACTCAATGTACTTTCAGTAACATTATGTAATATTGTCGCTCTGTACAAGATCAATAAGTTTCTCTTCTCGGTGATATATGCAGTCTTCGTCTTGCATGATACGATCGTGATAATGACGAGGTTATATTGAGATACTTACTGGAACACGCCCCTAGAAAATTGGAGATATCTTAAAATAACGACTTTTGAAATAGTCCACGTTGCGAACCGCATCGAAGTTTCTAGACTCAAATTAGCCTCTCTGGATGTTCCGTTCAGTTTCATCGGACTCGCTATAATTTGTATTATCTGGAACTAGTCGCATAGTGTCTACCGTCCATCTAATCAACGATTATCTCCAGAACAAGCTAGAAAACAGCTGTTAGCTTTCAATCTTGCGGCGTTTAGCCATTGTTTAAGCGCCATCAGTGGTAAATGTACCTCCTCTGGCTGTTTATGCCAATCTTCCTGTAGTCACCAGTATTGAGATAATACTGGCAATCTACATATATCGTTTGTTACAAGCTCAGTGAGTATTCTTGAAATTTCCACAGGCTGCAAGCAAGCGGCGCTCTCTAGGCTCTAGCTGAAACGTCTCCCCAAAAAATCCATTACACAAAATTACCAGTACCGACGAAGGTTTGGATTCAATCTGAATGGTTGAGATGAACTCCTAATCTTTCGAACAGGCTGTTCTCAGATCAGCAAACCAATGCAAACATTTTCGCCTTCTTCATTACTCTCGCCATCATCATCCATCCCGCTATCCCTCCCATACTTCTCATCGATGTGACAGACGATTCGAGATGAAGACAACGCCTCTTATGCCCCACGTCTATTGTCTGCAACCTGATATTTCTTGTTTTCGGACACCATGCAGTATATGCCCGGGGTTACTGACCAATGTCATCTAGAAACGGGTTTGTACATGGTGCGACCTATTCTAGAGATCATCTAGCCTTGTTTACTTCTCGATCTATCGCCAGTTTTATGCTTGACCCGGAGCTGTTCCCCATCTACTACCTTTCCAACGACAATTCTACTCATTGACACAGTAATCTAATCTCTTCGCATATATATTAAGCCTAAGATACAATCATATTCACATCTTGAATCCTCATCTAATCGACTCCGCAATGTCGGGCTCAAACTTTCGCACTATTCTTCCCGGCGATATGGATATCACCATGAAAAATAGCGGTTCAAGCGGTTCTTCAAAGAATAAGACCACTACACCGGAAACAACAAGTTCCAATAGTCATACAACCCCTGCATCCCTCGATAAGAGATCAGAAAGCGCAGGTCCCATCGCAAAGAAGAGGAAAGTTCCGACATCAATCACCGCAAACGCGTGTGTCAATTGTAAGAAAGCTAGAGCGAAGGTAAGTGATTCTGATATTCTTTGAGTGCAGCAATGAAAGTAAGAAGCCCAGCATGAGCACTTGGTAACTAAAGTTTACCCAGTGTGATGGTCAACAACCTTGCACTCGCTGTACTAGCAAGAAAAGTTTACACCAAGAAGAATGCGTTTACGAGTCGCATACTAAAAACGCGAAGACGATGCTGGTGAGGGATCTAAAAGAGAGCCATGACATCAGGCACAAAGCGGAAAAGATATTCACATGGCTCGCGAACAATACCGAAAGCGAGCATGATATCCTCGAGCGCATTAAGAACAGAGAGTCAATAGCGGAAATAGCTAATTGGTTAGAATCCATAGAAAGCAATGGTGAGTCACAGCTATCTATATATGGAGGTTCTAGCAACGAACCCGACGGTGATCTACCTAATGATTCTTCATGGACAACAGTGACAGACGACGATGAAGTTATCGACCATCTCATCTCCTTGTATTTCACATGGGTCCATCCCTTCTACCCTTTGTTTAATGAAGGTCACTTTGTGGAAAGTATGCGCCGAGGATCAGACGAGTTTTGCTCGCACAGTCTGTTTAATGCCATCTGTGCCATGGCATGCTATCTTCACACGATTGCTGATGAAGATACCACTGACTACAAACGAATGGGCGCCCAATTTTCAGATTTGGTTAGGAACAGCATCGATCCGCAAGACAATAGTCTAACGAATATCCAAGCGTTTGCGGTCATGTTCTTGGTACGCTGCGCACAAGGACACGGGTTTAG